TATATATATTTATATATATACATACATATATATATATATATATATATGTATATATGCATGCATACGTATACACACACATACTTACTCACACTCACACTCGTAAATAACACATACACGCACAAACACTCACACATACACACACACACATATATATATATATATATATGGGTGTGTGTGTGTATATATATATGTATATATTGTTATTATTATTATTATTATTATTATATATATATATGCATATATATATATATATTTATATATATATATTTATATGCATTTATATTTATTTATTTATATATAAATATAATATATATATATAAATTTATATATATATATATTTGCGTTTTTGCGTTTTTGCGTTTTTTGTGTTTTCAAGTCTGCTAATGGATGGCTGACCGCTAGTTTAATACCCTCCTTTGTATTCATACTTTCGACGCTTTCCGAATTTAATACTTGCTGAATTGAGTATAAAAAAAGCTGATATATTTTCCTGTTGGAAGTGATCTGTATTGATTTCGACATCGTGTATCTGTTGATCAAAGTGTATCTCAATCGGTGCATCTTCGTCGTCTAAACTTAGGTCTAATACTAGATCATTCAGTCAATCCCCATCTATAGAATCTGCTTCCATTTCCGGTGCTGAAACAGTATCCCCGATCTCCACATATTCAGATTAATCCATCGTGAATATTTGATACCTTTTATGTAACTATTTACATAGACAAACAACAACATAGACAAATAACATTTATGTCATATAGTCCTGTAGTATAACTGCATAGACAAACAACATCTATGTCATATACATAGTTATATATATTTATAAATCTTTTAACGAAAATCAAGTATGAGATGGTGTCTGAGACTCTCAGTCTCACCGGCATATGATGCCTTTTGGCGGGAGATTTCATTGCCAAATAGTTAGTTTAGACATAAATAGACTCTCCAATGTTTAGTATAGATAATTATGCATAGACTACCCAATAGTTAGTCTGATTACTGTGACTATTGGGCCAATAGTTGGTCTGATTACTAAGCACTACAATGAAGTACTAGTCTTTTTTTCTCTTTTATCAAACAAATTTTAGGAGGAGCCCATCACAAGTTGGGTGCCAGGGCAGGCACCGCATATTGATATATGCCGTTCCATGATCTCATAGCCTATCCAATAAGTTATAACATCCCTTGATAAAAACACCAAAACAGGAGATTTCACGATAAATCCAGAGGTAAAAATAAAGAATACAAATGCTGTTGTTGTCTCAGAATAGCTACATGCACCCGGTGAAGACTTGGCCAATACCCGCAGTAGTATATTACTGAATATGGGTCACTCGGGTGGCAAAGAGAAGGTGTCAAGTGTGTGCGAGGAGCTGTTGCGCAGAGAGGAAAACCTAACAAACTAACTGGCACAAAGTAGAGAAATTGCCCAATCCCTGCTGCAACGTGAAGAAGCACTAGCAAGTGAGGTATCAGGTAGTCAGCAAGAAATTTTAATAGAAGTCGCTTCCTTGAAGAATCCGGCATTTTGTGCCAAGTATCAACCTTTATCTTAAGTGGTCAATGCTCTCATTGAGCAGCACGGACTTGCGGGTGTGGTATATGAAGTGGTGATTCATATCTTAACTAATATATGAATTGTCCTGTTTTTGATAGCCGTGACCGCTTGAATGGTGCATACTGTGAACCGATACTACACCATTCACTTGCGATACGCGCCAATACGGTAGCAGCCGGCTACGGAGCTTTCATATTGAACATGGGCGACGGAAACTTAACAAGTCCTGTAGTCTGAGCAATAATACTCACAACACGTGATTTTTATTGATATAGTGTATGAGCACACACACAGACAGTACGTTATTAAAAGGCAACTTATTCGATAAAGCGGCTTAGACATATTCACTCTACGTACTTTCCAAATCCTTGGAATACGACAACAGGCTGAGCTCGTCTGCAAGAGTGGGTGAGCTGACAACAATCCCAGAATCGGAGATTATTCGTACAGCACATCATGCCCAGAGGAGATAGTACGTACGAGAAGCCAGATATGATACTTCTAGTTTATCACACTTTAATAGGGCCGAGGTAGAAATGCGGTTGACTTGAACATGCCGAGCATCGAAGCATTGTGGTATGTACCTTGGACTTGATTGACTGGTCGATACGAAATATGCGTATCGTTTGTAAATAGCCAGCAAGAACTTATAAAAGAAGTCTCTTCCTAACAAACCGGTATTTTGTGTCAAGTATCAACCTGTATCGGAGGTGGTCGATGCTCTCATTGTGCAGTCATTGTGCAGCACACACGAACTTGCGGGTGTTATGGCATATGAACATTGAACTGGCGTCTCGTATCTTACACAACGTATGGTGTGTTCTGTTCTTGTTGGCGTGACCACCAGTACTACTCCACCCGCTTGCGCGCAAATACGGTAGCAGCCGACTACAGAGCTTTCATGTTTAAGATGAGCAGAGAATAGTGTCGAGAATTCAACAAGTCTTGTAGTCTTTGCTTTACAGCACGTTATTCTGTGTATGGGCACTGCCACACGGACATCACTGTACTAAAAAACATTCATATAATCATGACCCTCTCTCTATTCTGAAGAGAGAAAGAACAAAGAACAAAATATGGCTAATCGAACTGCGTCCGAAGGACAAAATTCTTTTATTTTAATAAAAAAAAACTACAAATATCTCAGTGGGGCCCATTAAATTAGTAAATATTTATACGATTTCTGCTATTTTTAAAATTTGACCCTGATTTCTGCTTGCGACCCTTGTTCTCTGTACTAGAGTCTAGACTCTAGAGAGTAGTAGAGAGGGCCTATTAATAAACCCTAATCGAGCAGACTCAGCACTGTCAGCAGAATGCCTTGAAACAATAATGTTTGATTTCAGTATTTCACTTAGCCTTCTAAAAATAGAACTCCAGGACGGAAACAGAAATGTAAATAAAACAAAATCATGAAAAAGAGTAAATACCAAGACAGGAGAGATTTCACGATAAATACGCGAGCAAAAATTAAAGTATAAAATGCTATTGTCTCGGAATAGCTATGCGTACACACTGTCACGAGGTGAAGACTTGGCCAACACTCACAGCTGTATATAACTGAATATGGGCCACTCAGGTAGCAAAGAGAAGGTGCTAGGTGTGCGAGGAGCTGTTGCACAGAGAAAAAAAACCTAGAAAACGAGCTGGCACAAAGCAAAGAGATTGCCCAATCTTTGATGCAACGTGAAGGCGCACTGTCAGGTGAGCTATCAAGTATTCAGCAAGATTTCATGAAAGAAGTCGCTTCCTGGAAGAATCCGGCATTTTTTGTTAAGTATCAGCCTTTTATCTGAGGTGGTCGATGCTCTCATTAAACAGTACGGACTTGCGCGTGTGGCATATGAAATGGTGTTTCGTATTTTGCAAAACATATGGTAGTTGTGTTCGTGATAGCCGTGACCGCTTGGATGGCGTACGCTCTGCCCCGGTATACTCCATCCGCTCGCGACATGCGCAAATGCTGTAACAGCCGACTACGGAACTTTAATATTGAATATGGGCGACGAAAACTCAACAAATCATGTAGTATGTATAAGCAATCATATATACAACACGTGATTTGCTTTGAGATAGTATATGGGCACACGGACTACGCTGCTAAAAATCAACTTATTCGATGGAGCGGCTTGGACATCTCTGGGCCTGCGTACTTTCCAAATCAATGGAATAAGACAGCCGCGCTCGTTTGCAAGAGTAGGCGAGCTGACAACTGTCTGTGAATATTCTGCAATCAATCTGACGGCTGAGACTATTTGAATAGCACGGCATGCACAGAGGCGATAGCACGCACGAGAAGCCAGCTTAGGTACTTCTCATTCATCGAACTATAATAGAGTCGAGGTAGAAACTGGGTCCAGGACTGGATCCGGTATTGCATGAGTCTGATTCGAGCACGCCGCGCATCGTGGTATAACACCTTAGACTTGATTGATTGATCAATACGAAACAAGCGTATCATTTTCAGGGGAGACTACCCCAAAGAGTAAACATGATATCAGAGGTGTCAGGTGATTGTCCCAGAGAATAGACATGTGATAACAGAGAGATTGCCCTAGGAGTTAACATGATAACAGGAGAGATTATCCAACGAGAAAACATATCAATTGTAGCTAGCTGCTGTCGGGAGATCTTTGTATAGTTGCCAATATTGACATATGGTCGTCTAATCGAATCGGATCTTTTCTGGCCATGTATCCCGTCGAAGTGCTTAAGCATGCAGGGGCCAATACGTATGGTCATAGACTTATGGTGCTTTCTCGAAGATAAACACTGTATAAAAAAGTGATGAAATAATAAGTGCGTGACCACAATGTATTTAACACTGTTCATGCACAGATCAGAATACACAGGTTTTTTATTACAATTTGACGATGGCATATGTATACATTGTATATGTAAATGTATAGGTATATATATATTTATATATATAATATATATATATATACATATATGTATATATATATATACACATATATATACTAATATATATATATATATATATATATATTCAGTGTGAGCTGAAACCGAGATCGAATAAAGCCTGAAAAGCTCCGTTGACCACAAAAACCTATCAGTAGCTCTGCTAAGATTCTTCTGGCCATTCCTGACCTTTTAACCACCAACCACTTATACTGCACCAAGTGCACTGCACAACCGTAAATACAGACAGCAAATCAATTTTGTATACTTTCGTACCAGACTAGAGTACTCCAGGTCAGTCAGTATACGAAAACCTTCTTTTGTCGAACGGTTGTGTGTTCAGACTATTTCTGCATAGGTCTGGCAATATATTGCTACTGCCTGTCTCGTTAGGGCTTTAAACCTCGTTTATTGAGCTATGGGAAACTCGTTGCACGAGTTGTGACATATCCTAAATTAATCGAGCGTAAGGAAATACACTCGTCCGGCCGCTATAGCATAACTAATTGGTCTGTCGTAAACACTAGTATGGCTGTGCTAATTGGATTGAAACTGTAGCTGGGTGTGTGCAGGTGCTTACTGTCCTGGGCAGGCCAGTACCAGCGTGCGGTCTTAACTATCTCGAAAAGACAAAGTACATGGCACGCACACGCCTGAACAGTCGGAGCGGACGGTTGCACATGGTCTCAGAACCCAACCTCATGTGACAGCCTCTTGAAAGGGACACCCTAAACCCTAAACCCTAAAAACCCTTGAAAGGGACCCATGCACGGGTCACGACCGGACTCAAATATCCTGGGGACAGACCACAGTGCAGCCCATATTCGGGTACAGAACTGCCCATCAGGCCCTGCTCTAAAGAGAGTGAAGCATGGCTCTTGCATCATCTTTCGTCGGGTGTAGGTGGCCGTGTGGATATTTGGTGCCAAACAACGAAGCATATGACTTCGTACTCGTTAAGCAACGGCCAAAAAAGGGTATTACAATGGGCGGCCGGGATTTATATCGTGCCACTATCCTGATCCTGATCCAAAAAATATATACTGTCATGACCAATTGTCCATGATGTGTGGCACACCCTCCTATTGGCACCTTTGGGATGTCCCCCTGTCTCCTGCACCTGTCCTGCATCCTGCACGTATTTGTATATTTTTGGGCATTGATCATGTCCAGGATTCTAATGCACATTATAGGCCATCGCTGCACCATGGCAAGCCTAATTCGCACCTGTCGGAAGTCTAGCTAGTATTATGGATCTGGGCGTACCCCGTCGACCAGAGCCAAAGAATGGTTCGAGACTTCTTGGTGTTTTGAATTGACAGCTTACGGTTAAAAGATTAATTGTGGGCCTCAGGTGACGCTTATAAAACAGAGTATTTCCTGCTCCTGCTAGGTAGATGTCCATACATCTGGTTGTTCATGGCCACTAAGGCGTGCATAGACCGCGCAATGTCCGTTGGCTGTGGAGTGGTTGAAAGTAAGAAGGGGGGGAAACTGAGTTTAGTAGACTATGTAGAATGTTTAGCCAGCATTTCTAAACCAGGAAGTAAACGGTTGGTAACACGCACCACATTATAGCGAAACTGAGTCGGGGGAAACAAACTATCTGAAAAACACACCAAGCTTAGAAAAAAAACCCTAGGTACACGCATTCGAAAATATGTAGATACACACACATAAATCTGCCATCGAGCGCCAGACAGAGCCAGCATCTAAGTGCATCATCACCACAGCGCATCGCATTCTCCCTCGAGGTCCAGGTCAAAACTCACACATCCATATAGAAACACACACATCCATATATAAGCACATACATTCATATATAACCACACACATCAATATATAAACACACACGTCCATATACAAACACACACTTCCATATATAAACAGACACATCCATATATAAACACACACGTCCATATATAAACACACACGTCCATATATAAGCACACACATCCATATATAAACACACACATCCATATATAAACACACACATCCATATATAAACACACACATCCATATATAAACACACACATCCATATGTAAACACACATCCATATACAAACACACACACACACTTTCTCGTACACAAACACCCAATGCCCGCGCACGCCCTCCCGCCATACACAAACACATACCTTTTGTCTGTCGTTGTCTTCATCCACCCGCGGAGTCTCAAACGACGGCTGCACGGTGGCACGTATGGGGATGTCAATGGGCAGAGACGATCCCAGCACCCCCAGCCCATCTTCCTGTTCGGAGTGGCTGCCATTGCCCTCTATAGTAACGTAACGCGTACCCGTATGCGCGTCTGTTTGTGCACCCGGGACGCGTGTGGTGTGGGTGGTGTTGGGCTTGGCCGGGTTGCAGTGACTGAGTTCGAACTTGTTAGCATCGTCCTCGTGCTGGTGAGACTGGGGGCCATCCGCACTGGCTTCTATACTCCGTCTACTACTAGATTGTGAATCCCTATACCCGCGCAAGCTCTCAGTGTCCTGACCTACAGCCTCCACATCCCCAGCGGATCCCTTTTTCCGACCTGATTTTGCTTGTGTTTTCGTTTTCGTGCCTGCTTTTGGATCAGAAGGCACCAATGTGGGTGGACTCCCCTCCAGAAAGTTCATATTATCCTCCCCGTCGCCGCTACCTCCCTCATCGCCGCGCCTGACCACAGCAGCACCGGAGCCCTGGCCTGGGACTCTATCCGTGCTTGTATGTGCATTTACATTCGCCGCTGTGGGTGTAGCGGCGGGTGCATCTGTATTTGTGCTTGTGCCTGTGCCGGTGTCTGTGCTAGTAGTACACATGCCCACGCCAGTGCCCGTGGTGTCTGTACGTGGTCGTTCAGTTGACCCTCTCTGTGTGCTTGTGCTGCTCCCCCCACCGCCCCCGTTCGTCTCATCTGGCTTCGTATGGGGTATACTGCGTGCGTGCCTGGGGCTGGGACTCTTCGAACCGTACCTGAAAGAAACTGTATTCCTATCCGCTGAGCTTGCTTTGCGTGTGTTTGCCTGTGTAACGCTGGTTAAAAGAATGCTCCTCCGATCATCGCCAGGCTGACCAGCACTGTTGCCATGGTTACTGCCGTTGCTGTGGATTGAATCGCTGCTTGAGCGCGGTAGGATGCTGTCTCTGTGTTGCGAACCTGTAACAAAATGCAGCAGCACTCGAAAAGTTATAAAAAGGTGCGTCATGCACCCGAGAAGTTATAAAAAGGTCTATCATGCACCCGAGAAGTTATAAAAAGGTCTATCATGCACCCGAGAAGTTATAAAAAGGTCTATCATGCACCCGAGAAGTTATAACAAGGTGTATCATTCGAGCTTCAGCCGATTTGGTAACTGGAGTGATAAAAGATTCAAGCAATAAGCTGTGTTCTAGGGGTGGGCGCACACTGCAGAGAGAATAAACCCTGAAGGAAAACCAATGGTAACGCAGAGAGAATAAACCCTTAAAAAAACCAATGGCAACGACAGTGAGAAATGAAACTGTATCAATAGTTTCTGCAGGTACACAGAATTGTGTTCTATATTTGCAACGCATCCAAGATCGCTAGCACCACAATAATACACATCAATATGATTCAGAATTAACTACGACCACACGCCGTCCTTAACTATTAACCTAGAACAGCACGCGATCAAGGCCAAAACAAGCACACCTGTATGTATCTAGAGCAAAACTAGACCAAGACCAATACGCACCAAAATAATACTGATTCAGACATAATTACGACTACAAGCCGTCCTTAACAATTAACCTAGAACAGCACGCGATCAAGACCAAAACAAGCACAACTGTATGTATCTAGAGCAAAGCTAGACCAAGAACTATGCACCAAAATAATACACACCCATAAGATTCATATATAACTACGACTACGCTAGCACCACAATAATACATATCCGTATGATTCAGACATAACTACGACTACAAGCCGTCCTTAACTATGAAACTACATCAGCACGCGATCAAGGCCAAAACAAGCACGAATCCATGTATCTAGAGCAAAACTAGACCAAGAACCACGCACCATAATAATACACACCCATATGATTCAGACATAACTACGACTACGCTAGCACCATAATAATACACACCCATATGATTCAGACATAACTACGACTACAAGCATTCCTTAACTATTTTAACCTAGACGCGATCAAGGCCAAAACAAGCACAAACCCATGTATCTAGAGCAAAACTAGACGAAGATCAATACACACCACAATAATACACATCCATATGATTTAGACATAACTACGACTACAAGCCGTTCTTGACTATTTACCTACATCAGCACGCGATCAAGGCCAAAACAGGCACAAATCCATGTATCTAGAGCAAAACTAGACCAAGAACAATACGCACCAAAAGAATACACATCCATATGACTTCAGACATAACTACGACTGCAAGCCGTCCTTAACTATTAACCTACATCAGCACGCGATCAAGGCCAAAACAGGCACAAATCCATGTATCTAGAGCAAAACTAGACTGAGAACAATACGCGAGTACGATATGAAACAGTGCAAACCCCCCCCCCCCCCCCAAACCGCAGCACGCATCTAGTTCATCATTTAGCAACTACGACGAGAAATAGTATGCCATCGAGAGCTCCAACAGCACCCGACTCAGGCAAATCAAAGCACACACCTGTGCCCGAGACTGGTACACTTGTATGTCAAATCTAAACCGAGCGTAAACCGAGCGTAAACCGGATCATCCAACGCTATCACACCTTCGAATCTGCTGAGGCCGCAAATTCATCACAGCCCGTCCATTGCCATTGCATTCATGGCTCATACCGTACACTACCTTGTCTACACAAAAACACCCCAGCACCCATGAACACCACAACTGCAACAACAACACCGGACGTGTGCGATTACAATTCGACATTAGCGGTTGACCATACACTAATATCGTACTCCACAGATATATATTTAATAAGTATCGATTCGGAATCGCACCTGAATGATTGTTATAGAGTTCCGACGGACCCACTGCATCTTCCAGGATTCCCTGTGCCCGATTTGAAGCCTTTTTGGACTTTTTTGACCCGGTATTGGCCAAGCCGTTTACTGCGTTTGGGGCTGCATATTGCCCTTTTTTATGTACCATGTACTGAGTGCCTGAAAACGAAGAACGTGCCCAATAGGTGATAGTATTAATTTCGCGTGTATATGATCCTGAATTTACAATAAAAGTGTATCGATGCATACATATAAATATATATATATACGATGCATACGACATACCTCGGACAGCAGGTGCCGTGAGCGACCCTGGAATATACGGTTCGTACGAGACGGCCAGTTTCACCGCTTGGCCTGTCGCAAAAAAAAGATACAAGTGAAGCGAGCTCGATATATGAGAAAAAAAAGAAGAAAAAGTTTGAGGCTGCTTGGCTTGACTTAAATAAATAGAGAAAATCGCGGGCATTGCCAATGAGCTAGTAAAAAAATGCCGATTGCATGATGTCGGATAGCCTATTCTATGGGGAGACTTGGAACGAGCGTGCTCGTGCGCGTGGGAATGGCGACCAGGGCCACGGCTCCGACTATGAACCTTATCAGTCAATACATACGTCTGTACATTCATATGGTTGGCAATATATATACACAACCATAAATATATACCTACAAAAGAGTGTGTGCAAATGCAGGACTGTTATAGAGTCACTTGGGAAGGTCTCAATAGCACAACAACAATGCCGCAGTAGTGCATGCTAGCGCCTACCCCCATAGCTACTCAGCAATCAAACATGTCTTCATATTCACCACTGATATATCCTGTCCCGGGTCTACGCCGTTAATGTTTATAATCAGGTGTAGAGTTTATCCACAACAGCGGATGCAAGGCTATCCCATGTGAAGGAGACGCATAGAGAACCACACACAGCTAAGAGGCACGGCAACGGATATATATATACATATATATATATATGTGTGTGTGTGTGTGTGTGTGTGTGTGTGTGTGTGTGTGTGTGTGTGTGTGTGTGTGTGTGTGT